TGTAATAGAGATCATAGAAAAAGCGGCCTTTGTTTCGTTTTTTTAATATATAATTTTCTTCTACTTATTTTTCAATTTATATGCTTTTTTATGATTGTCTACCTTTGTCTTCTGTGTTCTTTGTTTAAAACAGGTCTCTCTTGTAAGAGTTCTTGAGACTCAATGACACTCACCTGTAACCATAAAGGTTGAATGAACGAACAAGAGACAAAAATAAAGAAATCATATAAACAAAACTGCATGCATATTTCACATATGAGATATAATAATGAAATTATAGAATGAGTTGTTTTAGCTATTTTAATTTTTGTTTACATATTTTTTCATATACACAGGCTTTTGTGGGTCCACCTAAAACTTCACATTTAAACAAGACACTTGAACATTACACCAGCTGTCCAATCAGAATCCAGGATACTGGGACGTGCCTGTTTCTCGCTCGTGGTGGAGCACAAGCAAAGACGCGTGAGAAAACTGCGAGGATTCCGCTCGTCAAGAGGTAAGCTTATTTAAACATTAATTGCTTCATTATTTTAACTGTTTATGGCCTCGTTTGTGTATTATTTATCAACTGTATGCGTTATCACGCTGACCGCTGGTAATTTTCATGTTAATTTCCTCCCATTTTGGTGCTTCTGATAATCCGCGAGCTAACGGGTAGCCTGATGGCATTAGCCTTAAACTGCGGCCGGGTAGCGGTAATTTACAATGTTATACCTGCCTTATCAAGCCACTTAATGAAAATGTATTATTGTTCGGCCTCTTCCACGTCGAGATATTGTTGTATTGGTCTGCAGTACAAACGACAACGTGCTAATCCGCACGTTTGTTGGTTGCGAAAGCATTGTTCATAGCTTGCTGTCTCAGTTTGTTGCTAACGAGCTAACTGGTTGGTGTTGTGCTGAAAAAGGTGTCCCGATTTTTCCGAGGGCTTCATAAACTAGCATCGTAGCGGTATGGTGGTGGTGGGGCTTTTGTTATTTTTAATTTTTTATATATATATTAAATGCTGAATTGAGCAAATTGTAAACAGAGTTAGGTTTTCAATTTTCAGTTTGCTTTTTCACTTTATTAAAGCAAACTCATCTGCCTTCGAATGCATTACTGTACAATGAATGGGCTATTTTTGACAGTAGGGGCGCTTAGACACAACATGGGTTAACTGTTGTCAGATTTTTTTTTTTTTCACCGCCACTACGTATCATTTAGCAGTAAGGGCCTTCTGGTAAGTTAATGCAAGCGTGTGGGTTTTTGTCTAATAATTTAATCTATATAAGTTTTGTATTGTAAAACGTGATGCTAACGCTTAGACTAGCACACCCCAGCTGCCATTATCATGTGCATACGTCATCGGTCTGCGCTTAGGTAACTAAAGTGTTAATTAGACTTGCTGACAGTTTGTTTTCATTAGTAATTATTTGTGTGCATTGTTTTTAAATATCAGTATATAAATAAAAATGTCTCACTGTCGGGTTATGCCAAGGCTCAGGATGACTGGTTTTTCATTAGCACTTTATTGTTAACTCTTCAATATTTCTGTGTCACAGCTCATAATGGCAATTCTAAAATAATTGTTTTGCTTTCAACAGAGGAGGGTGTCAACACTCATCATGGATGTCAGTAAAGGTAAAAAAAAAACAAATGCCAAGTAGCATGTGTATATAGTAAAATACTGTCAATTGCTAAGTATTTACATTTAGAACACAAATAATGGATTTTTAGACGCAATTTTAAAAGATGGTGTTTAATATTCGGTGTATAAATTATTGATTGAAGAGTATGTAATTATCTAAGCTGGTGCAGTTTTTTTTAAAGGTTTGAATAAAAATCAGGCTTCTGTTTGTCTCTGCATATAAATTCAGTTTATGTGCAAATTAATCATGACTGATTTCCCTGCAGTGTTTATTGCAAAATCGCAACAGTGTCATAGCTATTATCCATTTAATATTACAGACCAGTTTTAGCAATCTTTAGTGTACAGCAAGCTACAATTTTTAACTGGCACTTTTAGTTTGTCGGTATGCTAGTCATTAATGATACAAGATGACATGATTAAAACATTTTTTTTCTTATAATGACTTGTGTTGGCAGCTAAAGGAGACCAAGTGATGGCAAATCCAGGTGGACAGACAGACAAACCTGTCAGCGGCCACTTTGTGGAAAGGTTAGTACAGATGATTTGTTTGTTTCTTGTGCATTTGATAGAGGTTTACATCTTTACTGGCTTCATAATTCAGTTGTAGGTTACTGATTTAGAGTATCTGCGTTGTGTCCTCCAATCGTCATACAGAATTCAATTGACAGATACTCTGTGGCGATACTTTCAGTAATAAATCAAATCATAAATTTCAATACACTCTCAGTGTTATTAAACATTAGATTTCTGTCCTTATTATAAAAAGCTGCATCTTGTATTAATTGCAGTTTGAGCACCCCATCACAGTAATGTACTGTCTACATAACAGTGTCCTCCAGTTTCGAAGCACCCTCCGCTGAACCAATAAAACTCAGCAAGCAGTGGCAATATGCAGCTTTTGCTGTATGCTGGTATCCAAAGTAGAAGATTGTACATAAAAAAATTGTTACATTTCTGATTGGACCTTTTACTGTGACTGTACAGTATTGCACAGCTGAATAAAGGCCTAGTTCTTTGGCTATAACAACTGCCACTGTTCTGTTGTTTTCTAGCTCAGAATTGGAAGACCATGTCGAAAGCGCCTTGAGATTGCTTTTAAACACTCTTTGTCTGTAACTCTTTGCTGATCTCTACTATTGCAATTACTCACTAGCAGTAGCATTATGTTGAAGCTACTTAATTTAACTTTCTTTGGTTTTTAACAGCTGTTTGTAACAAACTGCAACTTTGTTTCGCTGCAGCTACAACATAACCAGCCATGGATTTTTCACTATAACTATATAGGCTGCAAATTCTTGAATATGTTTAGTCATCAATAGTGTGTAAGATTATTTACGTTTTAAGTTTAGTTTGCTACAGTATATAAATGGAGCATTATTGCAGTTTATATTTCATCACTGACAAATTAAAAGAGCAATAGAAGAAAGTTGTAACTTTGTTTGAATCTTTTGCAACTAGAAGAATTCACATTTATTAATTTAATAATCCAAATGTTGTTTTTCTACCAAAGCATGCTCCCTAAAGCAGTGAAGAGGCGAGTGCACGCCTTGAAAAGGCTACAGGTGCAGTGCGCTAACATAGAAGCTAAATTCTACGAAGAGGTCCATGAGCTGGAGAGAAAGTATGCAGCTCTTTATTATCCTCTGTTTGACAAGGTAAGTTTCTTTAACATTTGTTCTTTATTTCAAAACGCTTGGCATGTAAAGTTCCTTTAACAAATTTTATTTAAACACTGACTACTTAAAAAAAATATTTAATAGTTTAAATATATAAAAATGAGTCGTCTTGTTCCAGCACTATGTTTTCCTCTTTGGTCTGAGATCTTTGAAGGTGTATCTTTAGTGCTAAATTGAAAACTGTCGAAACGAGTAGTCGGCTGTACATTTGTCAGTCGAGGCTATTTCCAGCGACGGTGACAAGAGCTGTGTCATTCTTAAACGCATGGAGTGACAGCTGTAGTTCTGCTGCACCTGTTAGTAACTGTGTTCATGTCATGTGTGTCCGTCAATCTTTCTTTAATGACCAGTGTACTGCTCAAAGAAAAAAAATAGAGGTGACCAAATTCAGGTTTGTCCACTTGATTTTTATAGTGTAAAATATCTAAATCCTTCTGTCCAACTTAAAAGTATGTGAAGTACAAAACACAAAGTAACTCACATGTTCAAGAACATGATCAACAACTGTGAAGGTCAGCTACCCATAATATTTAGGGTTGCATTCTATTACCATTACATTTCAGTCTTGAGTCCACCATTTTTACCATTTTCCCCCAGTTCCTTTTCTTGCTAGATAAGCACATAATTTGCACTGATGGGTGCATTTGTTTATTGGTTTTAACACTGACGCCAACAGGAGGGCATTCTTAAATCCAGTGTTGCGTATTCACTGTCTTCCTTTATGCTATCATAATCTGTAATGGGTATTATTTGTATCTAAACTTTGAATTAAATGTCTTTTAAATTAAGGGTGTAAATATATATATTTTTTAAGTTTTTGATATGGTTGCTGCTTCCATCTAGAACAAAGGTCTCAAACCCTGCTCCTTGTGGCCCACTGTCCTGCATGGTTTAGGCTTTTCCCTGCTTCAACACACCAGATTCAAAAAGTTGAATTATACTCAGAACATCATCAAGTTCAACAAAAGTCCGTCAATGACTCGTTCATTTCAGTCAGGTGTGTTGAAGCAGGGAAACATCTAAAGCCTGCTGGACAGTGAGCTTAAGAATGATTTAATAAAGAAATAGAAATTTACAATCACAAACTTCCTGATGTAGTTTTTCTGTTGTGTCACAGAGACGAGATATTGTCACAGGAGCAGTAGAACCCACAGATGAGGAGTGTGAATGGCACAGTGACAGAGATGAAGAGGCGGATCTTGCTGTGAGTATAATTATCCACCTGTCAAAGGCGGCACGTATTATGGTATAGTCTCCATATGTCCGTAAACTTTCTCTTGTCCGGCCTATAACTTCTGATCCACTGAAGATAATTAAATGAAACGATACACACATGCATCATCACTAGACAGAAGTGTCACGTTTACTTATCACCCGAGAGTCAATGTCACAAATGAAGGTCAAATATAGTGCAAGGTCTTTGCTGGTCTGGGTCTTAACTTCTGATTCACTTAAGATAATCTTGCAAAACTTGATACATGCGTGCATCATCACTAGATGAAGTGTCACACTTAACTACATTTTTAATCACACCAGCTTCCACGCTAAGGTCAAAGTTAAAACAATGTCTTTGCTTATGTGGACCATTGTTGTGTAATAGTGGACATACAAAGTGCTGTATGAGGTACTCTTTTATTTATGATTTTTTTTTTCCAGAAAAGAAAAAAGTTTTTTTTCTTAAACCACAACTATCAAGAATGTCAGAAGCATGTTTACAATGGATTCTTCAAAGTACTGAAATAGCACCGTTACATAACATTTATCTAATAAATGTAACAAAATCATGAAATTACTGCCATGAAGGACCCGAAAAAGCTTAAAGACTACTACTTTTTTTAGTTCAAATGTCCACACCTGTATATAAAGAAGTACATTTTGATTTCCCTGCTCTCTGCTATTAGGAGGAAGTAAAGGAAAAAGCTACTATTGAAGATGCAAAGAAGGAGGAAGCCAAGCCAGAGGAAGACCCAAAGGGCATCCCTGAGTTCTGGCTCACCATTTTCAAGAGTGTGGACATGCTCAGTGACATGCTACAGGTACTACAATGATTCATCTCCTACTCAAAGTCTCACCACATTTCTGAACAATGTATTGAGTGTTTATAGATGACTATTTATTTTAATTATTTACTAGGAACATGATGAGCCCATCCTAAAGCACCTGAAAGATATTAAAGTCAAATTTTCTGAACCAGGACAGCCAATGGTCAGTATTAACGTCTTGACAACGTTATAAACTAAATGCCTTGAAAATTCAGAGTGTTACTGATTTTTCTCTCGCAGAGTTTCACTTTAGAGTTCCACTTTGAACCTAATGGATACTTCAACAACGCAGTCCTCACTAAAGTCTACAAGATGAAATCGGAGCCTGATCCATCAGATCCGTTCTCATTCGAGGGCCCAGAGATCACTGACTGTGAAGGGTGCGTGTCAAAGCTGCTTTTTGAACAGTGTTTTTTTATGTTCCATTTTAGGTTAAAATGCATTCTACCTTTTTAGACTTTGCATCACAGAGTTTAATGATCTTTCTCTGAGTTTTATTTTAACCTCCCCTTTTTGCTGCCTTCTGCTTCTCACATACACGTTCCCTCTCTAGGTGTCAGATAGATTGGCACAAGGGGAAGGATGTGACGGTGAAAACTATTAAGAAGAAGCAGAAGCATAAAGGTCGTGGCACCGTTCGCACCGTTACAAAGCAGGTTCCAAACGACTCTTTCTTCAACTTCTTTAACCCTATCAAAGGTGAGAATACAAACAAAAATACATACTCGTAAAAAATGTTAGTGTTCTCTAGAGGTTAGTATGTACCTTTTTTTAAAAAACACCTTGTGTAAGGTATTAATATACTTGTTAGTGTCAGTTCTTTTAGATCTTTTGTCTAAACTTTTGTTTACAGAGCAGATGAACTGGCATCTGACTCACTGCACTGTCAGACAGCATAAATGCTTTTTGTGTTCTGTTGTTATGTCTTTATTGATAGACTTTGTTTTTTGTTTTTAATAGTAAGCAGATATTGAAAATTCTTGACATGGAGTGTTCTTTCACTGATGCAACTTTAAAACATGCATGTAAAATTACTTTTTGCTGCTTCTCAATAATGTAAACAGGCGAGTGAGAAAGCAGGATTTGTTCGTGTGGACAGTACCCTAACCCCTTTGGTTTATGGGAAATGACTTTAAGGTCTTTAGTTGTAGAACTGGAATGAAAGAGACAGGATATGCTTAGCAACAATAAGCCAGAGCTGATATAAAATGTATTAAGTGGCAGTATATGTTGACATACCTTTTAAAAATGTCTGGTCTGCTCATGCAGCATCTACAACTTGCTGTTGTTGGCATGCTAACAGGTAAAGATATGTCCTAAAAATCATAAACGTTATGGTTTATTAAGAAAGAGCGTAAACATACAAGTCTCTAAAATATGTTATCTGTTCAAAATCACCAGTGGGTGGGGAGGCATCCTGGGTGTTTTATTCTGTGGGTCCTGAATTGAGCAAGTTTGTACAGCAGGTGGCAGTAGACTTTTACACTTTGTGCTGCTACACTGACTAATCTGCCCCTCAGCACCACTGAAACTGAACTTTCCACAGCTGCAAAAGTTTTTGTGGTGTTTAACCTTAGAATGTGAAGCTAAAAAAAAAGGACCAAGAACACATAAACTATGCAATTGAAACAATATATTGGAGGGTTAGTTTACAAAAAAGACTCCACTAATGGTGTATAAGACACCAGTATTTGATTAAACATACTATTTACAAGTGTTTTAATATAACACAGAATTATTATTTGATATAAAACTGGACAAATACAGTTACAAGTTTATTAAAATGTGTTCACAAATTAATAATTCTAAAAATAAGCATCACACTTACACATATTCTCAATACGTAATGGACTAATGTTTTTGGTCAGTATTTTCTGTCGAGATATGCCTGGACTTGTACTGACTTTTAGAAACCATTGGTTGCGCAAATGTTTGTCTGACTGGTTCAGCTGTAGTCTCAGTGTGTTGCTGAATATAAATATCTTCTTGTCAAGTCTTAGTTGAGCAGCCCCAAGATCTGAGACATTGTTGGTGAAAAGGCCATCACTCACTGATCACATTAAGGATGACGTGTAACTTAATTTCTGTGTAGTTCATTGACTTTTCTTTTTACTGCACACTTCTTTATTAAATTTTTATTATCCTTTAGTAAAGAGTAGTAGAAATAGAAAATACTGTATTCAATAGGAATAGACATATTGGAAAAAATATTTATATATTTTTATTTTGAATTCAAAACATAAAAGTTGTTGATGGTTTAAAAATGTCAACTCCTTAAAGGGACCATTAATTACTTTTATTTCAAAAAAAGAAAGAAAAACCGATTTGTCATTGTATGAAGTTGTACCAATCGTCTGGACAGGCATCGGTTTATTAGAGAAGCTTGTTTGAATCCATACCTGGGATCATACTATCATTCAGTCCAGAAACAGCTTGTTTGATAACTTGGGTGAAATTCATATGTACAATTTGTAGCGTGCACATCCTTTTTAAGTGAACCACAGGAGTTTTCTTTAAAGCATTAAAGAAGAAAAGGGAAGATTAAATGTTGTCACTTTTACGATGGTGGTTGAGAATGTCTGTTTTCTTTCCTGTAAATGTGTTGTCACTGCAACAAGCATTAACTGCAATTTTTATCACCATATCAATTATCTTTACAGCTTTACCAGATGGAGAAATGGTGAGTAAAGTTATTGTTGAACCTTCAGGTTCATTTTGTCCAGCTTGTTGCCATGATTCCAACTTTTCTTGTTTTGCAGGACGAAGACTCTGAGTTCACCCTAGCAACAGACTTTGAGATTGGTCATTTCTTCCGTGAAAGAATAGTTCCCAGAGCAGTCCTGTACTTCACTGGTGAGGCCATGGAAGATGATGAGAGTGTAAGTGCTCTTTTTTTTTTTTTTTTTCCTCACACATTTTAAGAAGAGCCAAAATTTGACTCACTAGATGGGATTGACTAATAATACAGAAGTTAAGCTCGTAATAACTTTTAGGTGTGTTTCCAGTCTTGACTGTTTTACTTGTTTTTCAGTTTGAAGAAGAGGAGCTGGAAGAGGGGGATGAAGAGGTTAGTTAAAACCCATATTTTAAAATTCAATTAGGTCTATTGTCGTTCTCACCACATGTGGTACATGAGATGTAATGAAATTCTGTACACAGGGTCCCAGTTGCACCCAACAATAGCAAAAATATAAAGTGTAAAAAGAAACATATAAGGATCTAAGATATACACTAAGACACTGATAATGCAAAACAATACGGCATAACTACAACAGCAGCCCGAACATGAGTCTGTGGTGAGCAGATGGGTACGAATGAATACAGCAGCATGAAATAATCAGCAACATGAGATCAGCAGCATGAATAATCAGCAGCACAGATAAGTCGCATATCACCAGTGGTTTTTTTAAGACTTGTCAGACAGCTAGCCTGCTCAGACAAGACTTAAATGTGCAACTTGACCTCCTTACACATCACTGCCTGACCTTTGAATCATTAAAGTTCTTACAAGCTGCTTTTGTCCTTTTTATTTTGTTTTTGTGTCTCAGGAGCAAGATGAGGAGGGTGATGAAGACGATGATGAGGGAGACTTTGACCCCAAGGTTAGCTGACAACTTGTTTAGTTATTTTTGCCTTTTTCCCCGCAGGTAATGACCTATTTTCATTTTATTTTTGACCCTTGTTTGACAAAGATGCTGTTTTTTTTCTTTTGTAACTGCAGACCAAACTAGACAGTCAAGACAGAACTTGTTGAGATCTCAGCACTAAATTTAGTTTTAAAATGTGGTGTGCTTTATGTCATAACTGCCTTCTGTAGTCTTTCCCTTTACAGACATCAAATGAGTAAAATGCACATAATAATTTAAATATAATTTGAATAATATACGAGTCAGATCCCTACCTTGCCTGTTAGTCAACTCTGTTTTGTTTATGGCTTTGAAGAGTTGTATCTGTCGTTCTTAAGAACAACTTTTACTGATGTTGGCACTTTGTTTGTTTGTTTGTTTGAGGGTATTTTTGTAATGCAGGGATTCAACAAACCCTTGGCCCTGGCATCAGCTCAAACAGCTACAGCTGTTTCCTCACCCTAAAAAGACGTATTTCTAAGTTTGAGCTACAATCATGAACGGTTTTATTCAGTTCAGGCTCACACTGCTCCTGTAAGCTCTTATGTAGGAGTGCTGTTTTCTCTGTTGGCTTTAGTTGCTTGTGAAGTTTTTCTATCGGAAAAGCCCATCAGTTACTGATTTTATTTATTTTGCTCCAGGAAGTCGAGAGTGCTCATTGATCAACCTCAGCAATGTTTCACTGTGTGCTCACTATCATTTCTAAATATTACAATTAAACCTTTTCACACCTGTCTTTCCCTCCCCCTGGATTTCCCCTTCATTACAGGCGTAATCAAACATTCTCATCCATGCATTTCTAGGTAAGGGAGAAGAAGAGCGTCCCATATTTATTACATGTTCTTCTACAGTAGCTTTGGTTCAAAACTCTTGCTTTTTTTACTTTACTGCTTTTTAAGATTCCCTCAGTAACTGAAGGTGTTTTTAACCTGCAGCTCACATCTTGGGTAAATTAAACCTTTTTCTCTCTGTCCTCTTTTCTTTCCATCTGTAGCCTTCCCTTCCATATCCTTAACCACGTTTCTAGCATTATTCCTTTTTGTTTTACCAAACCAGATGCGTTCATTTTCCTCCATTTTCTTTCTCCTGTCTGCTAGCTGAAGCCTTCATCATCTCTCGGATGTTTTCTAAGCTGCTTTTCTCTCTGTGTTATCAGCAGAAAGAACAACCTCAGCCTGCTGAATGCAAGCAGCAGTAACCTCGATGGTCAGGGGAGATGGAAACCTGTTCATCTAGTCTGTTCTCAGCCAGTCCACAAGACCTCCGACTCTCGCAGGATCTGCCCCTTTTACAAACTCATAGGACGCAAACCTGCGTTTTTACTGTGCATGACTTTAATTTTCTTGTCTTGCGCCCAGCTCTCACGTTTTATTCAGCTTCCTTCAAACTTGAGCAGGAAATTGACTTGACTACTAATTAAATTGATTACTAAGATATCACATATAGTCTTCTTTTAATGTTGGTATACTTTAAAACAGCATAATAGGTAAAGAATTGTTCATGAATAAATCAGTTACTCAGGGTTTTTTTAATAGCAAACAAGCGGAATGAGTTTACTAGAAAACTGCTGAACAAGTTAAAATATCTGCCACTGGGTTTGTTTTTCTTTCGTTATGGTAAATTTTGAGACACCCGTTGTTTTTACTTTCCTTCACGTTTTAAATGTTCATCGTGTCATTGAACTACTTGTTCTGGTATCTTGACGCTGTCTGAAATGTTACATTTTGGGGGAAATCTTGCAGACAGTCAGGTCTTTTCATACCGACTCAGTTTCTCTCTGGGATAAACGCGTCAACAAAATGTTCAAACTGCCAAGTTCCATTTCTGAGTTTGTGTTCTGCATTAATAATGCAGAACACAAACTCTGTTCACCTCAAGGTTTATTAAGCCCTGATTACGATTGACACAAGCACTGCTAAAGCTTTCGTTAATTTTATCTATGCGTCATCCTCAGCAAACTCTTTGACCTTGTGCGTTAAAGTTTGACAACACAATTCTACATGTTTCTATGTGCTGATTTAGTTTGTTGGATTGGCTCGACTCAAGGATTCTGTTGTAAAAATAATAAAAAAAAAACATTCAAAGCTGAAACATGCACAGTGAACCCTCAGTTTTTCTGTTAATGTGTTTTATTTCTTGTTTGCGTCTAGCTCTTAAATGTTAATTGAGACCGTGATGGGGTTGGGTGCAGGAAGCTTGAATAAAATGTAAGATTTGTTGCCAAGAAGCCAAATGTAAAAACACACAGTCCTGTTTTTCTAAAACCATTTGCCAACTTGTTATTAACACACATAATCAAACTCAACAGGTAAAATTGTTTAATTCTATACAAGTCTGTTATTGTCTGATAATTCAGTGGAATGTTTGTGGGGGGGAATTAAACGGAACAGGGTGCCAATGTATTTTCCATTCTGCACAAGGGTTTTTGACCGTTCAGTGGGAAACGTTAGCCTGATGATCGGTCGTTGTTGTAGTGGAACAAATCCTGAACCCGCTGCCTCTTTTGTTTTCAATAAGGAATGATTGTACATTTCATTAGACGGATCTCTCAAAGCCACGGTCGACTTCTTCAAATCGACCACATTGGACCGTGCGCTGGCAATGGCCTTAACTGGTTCTTATTCACAATTTGTTACTTGCGCAGTATTTCTTTTCAATTTGTACAGAGTTAGTTAAGATATTCTATTAAAGATATGCGACATGGAGTTGTGTTTTGGGCGTTCTTTTTTTTTGTGTGTGTCCAATTTGGAGGAGAATTTAATAAATAAGAATGTATTTCAGTAAAAATTGTCTGTTTTCTGATACGTAATGGGATTATGATGAGGGGAAGAAGCGGAAGCTCATCTAAAAGCATAAGACAACAGACCAAGTGAAGCAGATAAAATTTATTTTTTTAAAGTTGAAGAGATCACGTGTTGTTTTTTTTTATATTTGTGATTAAAGGCATTTTGAAAATTGTAAAAATTACAGAAACCAAAACTGCACACATTTCCTTAAATGAGCTGAATGTTTTGATGTATGAATTATAATAAAATGGCACAAAGTATTGAAAACTAGGAAAACAACTGCACAGTTAAATAGTTCCCAGTGGATCAATTGTGTTTGTAACATTTCAGTCCAGTTCTGTTTTATTTTGTCACTAATGTGGAATCTCTAAATGTCCACTCTGCTGAAAGCAAGTGTTGAAGGCATTTTGCTCGTCGTCAACCAGCTGAAGGTTTTGTCAAAGTGACCTGTGTGCTCTGCGGGTGAACGCACATGACAAGGTGCAGAATGGCCCCTTGAATTCCCTGCAAAATGTTTTACAAATGATTGAGTGGAGCAAAGCTTGCAGTTCATCTCGGCTGAGAAAACAAACGCTTCATGAAGTAAATACAGAAAATTGCTGCTGTGATGGATTATAAGAATATAATAAAGAATTCTGGTGGAACATGACCACATTGGACCCTTGTAACCCAGTTGTTGTTTTTTTTCTCCAAAGTGCTGACAGCTGCTTTCTTCTGTCACCTCATCCAGCAGCACTAAGTTATTCATGTTTCTGTCTTCGTGTGAACACTGATAAAACAAGTCTGGATTATGTTGAGATGACGAACAGGCCTCCCAAGTTCACTGGAACATTACAAGTTAAAGCTGCGACTTCTGATTCCTGCAGAGTAAAACTAAGGACCAGTTTCTAGTTTACTGTATTGGCAGATTTTGCTTTAAGGCCTGTGAACAAGGCGTCGTTCATGCTGCTGTGTGGGGTGGAGGAGCGCCTCACTGGAACACAGCTCTGATTGTGACACACAACTCGTTTCTGCATTTTAAATAACGAGGCCTGGAAACTGGAATTGCGCAGTGAAGTTGCAATGATCCAAGTACACACTCACACTTTTAAACTTGTGTAAAACATCGCTATTGCCAGAATTATTTAAGCAACTGAGCTTTAAAATAAGAAATGGCAAAAAACCAGAAAAATGTTAACTCGATGTAAAACAGAGCTTGGGGCCTACGGTGAAAATTAAAAGGTTTGTTGATTTACCCCAAGCACTGCCCAGCTCATGTGGTTCCTGTTAAAAGCCAAGTGAAAACAAAGAACGACAATGATGCTTTCTGTTCTCCACACTCCTCCTCAGCTGTTTGGTGACTATGGGTGTGTAGAAAAAGAAAATGGCAAATGCAGAAGAATTCAGTCTAATGGACTCAAAGAGAGGTGAACTCTGTTTGCAACAGCAGAATAAAGGACAGGGAGGATTTGTATTGTTGGAATTATTCGCCTCCTGCTGTCATATCTTCATCCAGAGCAGTTTTCTTTCAACTTCCCTCCCAGCTGCAGCTGCTCCCGCTGACTCTCTGCGGACCTCCAGGTGTATTTGGCAGCTTGTCCATGTGTGAGGATACAAAGGAGAGGGTGATCCGAGTCGTTTGTGTTGGGTTTTCCCTCCTGGCCGGATGTGATGTGAGCCAGACACAGATCACAGAAGAAGGAGGCAATAGAGACGTTCTTTATGCTTGTGAGCTGAACAGTCTCCCTGATTGTGACCTCTAAGATCTAAAATGTTAAAACTGACTCCAGCAGAATGCTTCACGTATCCCCGTTTGATTTGTTGGGTTACCTGCTTATGTATAACGCAGAAACATTAATGTTAATATCCAACAAAGTTCAGTCAGGTCATCTGGACGGTTTCTTTTTTCGTTGAGGCATTTCGTCCTTCATCCAAAGGACTTCATCAGTCCGAGGAGCCACAACAAACTCAGTTCCACAAGCAGCACACTCACTGAGTTTGTTGTGGCTCCTCGGACTGACGAAGTCATTTGGATGATGGATGAAACGTCTCAACAAAAAAGAAGCCGTCCAGATGACCTGACTTAACTTTGTTGGATATTTACCTGGATTTATGAGCATGAACTTTGATTAATGTTAATAGTGACTTTGTGATTTTGCTGATACTCTTAAGTTTTCAAACTAGCACCTTTGTGATGCTGAGTGAAAGGCAACAGTATGGGTTTCTAAGAAATTTAGCACAAAATTGATTAACTACACCTTACTAGTACTGTGCTGGACCAGTAGAATGTGATACACGGGTATATGGAGTATACCATTAGAAAGCTTGGGAATTCCAGTATACCTACTTAAAGTTCCCAATGATACTTGACATATCATTGGTCACGTGTCATTGTCAACACATTTGGAACATTTTATAAACACATTGAGTTGGTTCAACCTGTTTTTTGTATACTTAATACTTCTGTACTTAATACTTGAACATGTTTTGCTTTGATACTGTTATATAAATTATATAACATGTTTTTAATGCAAAACCAACTGTTGTACAAAGTTTGTTCATTTATTCAAATATAAACATCAGAGAAATTTGGAAATGTTCAATATGCTTAAAAATCTAAATAAATTGACAATTACATTGTACTAACCTGTGTACTTCGGTTTCTAAGCACAGTGTACCCAGTACAAAAATGTAGACTACACCACTGGGTTGGACCTCCTTTTGCCCACCTTAATTCTTTGTGACAATGATTCAGCAAAGTGTTGGAAACATTCCTCAGAGATTTTGGTTTGTACTGACATGACTGCATGATCCAGTTGCTGCATCACTTGCACATCTGTGCAGTTTCCTGTTCCTGCACATCCAAAAGCTGCTCAATTGGACTGAGACCTGGAGACTACGGAGACCGTTGGAGTCTAATGAATCAAGACTTGTCATCGTACCAGGAATTGTTTCTACAATCTCTTATTGTCCAGTGCTGGTGAGCTTGTTGAACTGTAGCTTCAGTTTCTTGTTCTCAGTCATTAGTGTTAGCGAACAGGTGTGCCTAATGAAGTGAATGAGTGTATATTTTAATATGAAGAATGGAACACGGCTCAGCTTTATTCAGGCTTGAGTGGCGTTTGCAGTGGAAGAACTTTTTTGTGTGCAAAGAGTTAGCAGTTCTGTTTCCTCCTCTGCCGAGGCACGCTCCAGCCTACGACACTCTGTTCAGACAAGCCTCCATTTTTAGGATGACTAAAGGAGCACAACTTCCTCAAGGAGCGAGACCAAATATGGCCAGGGCTCTAACATGTCAGGTTTGGTTTACATCAAACCTTTGGCTTGAATGTTGTGTGTGGGAGTTAGGTAAAGGATTTATGGATGAATTCTGACTCTTCTTACCGGCACACACTTTTTTTTTTTTCCTTTTCAAAAAGGAAGGACCTTATTTTGTGTAAATCCCAGCATGCCAGGCTTGTCGTCCTGGACTACTGGAGGAAAACAAGGCAGTAGATAAAGAGCTGATGGAACCAATCTGATCCCTTAAATGCTGTTTTTAACTATGTTTGATGAGGCAAAGAAGAATCAGATATGTGGGAAAAATATTTAAAATCACATTTATATAAAAGCTCTGCACCTTAAAGACAAACTTTGGTCTCTTTATCCTCTTTGTGTGCAGATTACAAACAAAAACTTGAGCTAATCTTAGTTGCTTTAGGTGTTATTACTGGTTTCCTTTCTGCCTTATAAGTCTGAGAAAACACATTTCACGCCCATTCGCAGCAGAGCAGCTCTGCAGCACACCTCTGTCTGGATTTATGAATGGACAAGATACTGAATGAACTAGGTGTGGCATGTTTAACCTGAAAAAAAAAACAAAAAAAAAACAGCCAGTCAGACCTGGAACACCTGATCTGGATTCAAATTACACGAAGGAAGTTCAAAATAGAAATATCTCAGGCAGACCTGCTTTAAATATATGTATATTTTGTAATCTTCATCCTCCTCATATTTGATTAAACGTGACATGTATAACAAGATAAAACCAGACTAGGTTTTTTATTTACTATGACATACTTTTCCAGTAAAGTCTTGCTCTTATTTTGAAAATCAGAGTAATTCCAAGAAGATTTAAAGCCCTAGCATTTCTGCAAAGAATGTATATTGTACACTTTTCATGACAGTTTTAAGTGAAGACACATTTTATGTTGAAAGATGATGAATTTGGAGTCATTTTAATCAAACTAAGAAAATTATGATAGGTATTGTATTGCAGTATTTCACGAGATCCTCCATAATCTGTTAGCACTTGAGTGCATGTTGAGGATGACTTTCAGCTACTACCTAAGCAAATTTTAGATCAATATTTGTAAAATTGACAGAGTTACACCAAATTTGTGTTAAATAAGGTTGCTTAGCTATGGTGGCCATCTTGAATGGGGTTGACTCCAAAAATTAATCAGTTGAAAATGTACACCCAATGATTACTTCCTGAAAGTTTCAGTAAAATTGATGCTGTGGTTCATGAGATATGCTGCTAATTTTACAGAGAGCAAGTACACAGGCTCAGAAACAGAGAATAACGTTGTTACCCTTTAACCTAGGTGATGGAAAAAATGTTCAAAGTTCTTTATTGTCAATCGCATCGCATGTGGTACATGTGTATAAAAATAGGAAAAAAGTATAAAAATAAACGGTATACAAGGATCTAAGATAGACGCTGAACACTAATAATGTAAAATAATACAGTGTATTAAACAGCAGCCTGAACATGAGTCTGTGAGCAGATACAGCAGCTTAAAGGCAAGAAATCAGCAGCATCAAAATCAGCAGTTCAAATAGTTAGCCAACACCTTAAAAAATCTGTACAGGCCTTGGTGTGTGTCCAGTTTTGGGCAGATTTTAATGAAAATCATTGGATGTTCAGCAAGTGATGAACTTTTGGAGTCTTCCCCTGTCAAGTTGGCACCACAACAAATCAGCCTTAGCAAACACAAAAATGGCTACAGTTCAGTCAGCTTCAGAGACATTGAGCTAGTA